CGTTCTCAGTGGGTTTCTGCCAGGGTGGCCTAGAGTTTCCATCACTACCCCTATGGTCCGCTGCAAGGCTGTGTGGTTGTGGATGTTGGCATATCAACTTTGGAACCACCAGCGGGGCTGGGTGGGTAATAACGTATTAAACTGGACTTCTGGGCCTCCCCCCAGACCCTCCCTTTTCTTCCTTCCTCCCTTCCTTTTTCCCTTCCTTCCTTCCTCTTTCTCTCCTCTCTCCCTTCCATCCCCTCCTTTTCTTAATAGAGACACACTCTGACTTCAACTACTCCTCAATACTGCCCAGATGATAAATATTTCCATTTAACTCCAAGTTTTGCTTGGTGTGTAGAATTATCTTTCCAGACCTTAGCTTTCTGTGGGTATTTTTCTTAGTCTTTCAAAGTCATGGATGTGTTTGGGAAAAACAGAACAACAGTAATATAAAATTTACTTTACCCTCCAGCACTACTCATTGTTTCTAGGTGGTAAAAATGTATTTTTCCTTAAACAATCATTTAAAAATGTATATGTCTTGAACAAATAATTTTTCATTGGTTTTACTCTGTGCCCTTGCAGCTTGCGTTATGCCTTCAAGAAAATGGTCAATATGTGACATTAAATTTCTTGAGACATATAGTACATGACATATTATAATCTTTATGATCCAAGAAAAAAGCACCTATTTTCATACTGAAGAGAAAAGTCCACAGGAAACAAGTGCCTTTAGCAGTGTAATTGTGAACACTGACATCTCAGCCAAGATAATGTTTTTTTTCCCTCTAAGGTGGGATGATTTGACACAGAATATTTTTATTTGGTTGGCAAAGCACTATGAATCACTTCCTGAAAGATAAACAGAGAAATATGCACATTGAGTTCCACATGGGGCACAGTTTTTATTGATGATAATTCTCTCTGAGTGACTATTTCATTGCCATATTCTGAGTCTACAGACCCTCTGTGAATTTGGTCCCATACTAAACACCAGTGTACACTACATGAACGTTTTTCTTTAAAGTCAGCATATGCTAAAGTGGATTACCTCATTCTCCAGATTAAATCTTCCTTAACTTTTTTCTTTAAAACTGAACTGGACTAGAGTTGTCATTTTTAAAATTTTACCTGATTAAATCAAAGTTTTTTTTTTCATTGTATCAGCAACGTCACTTTTAAAACTTAAAGGTCAAATGTGGAATGTAATGAGGTTCAGACTATTAAACACTCATTATGTGTTACCCAACCTGCCCCCTCAAAATGTTAATTATTTGAAAATCTCCAAACATAACAGATTATGTTTCAAATGATAGTTTCTTGCTCTGAAATCAAGTATATTTTCTAGGTAACGATTCCAGAAAGGTTTTAATTACATCATCATGTGTTTATAGCTTGTTAGAATAGGCGCCAGACTATATTATGAAAAATGTCTGGCGCGTGGAAATAGTAGAGTAAAACAGTTGAAAATGTAAATGAATGAGTCAGACTACCTGTGCGAAAATATTGCTCTTTTTTTTTTTTTCTACGTGGTTGACCTTGGACAGTTTCTTATATGGTTTGTATATTAATGTCCTTATTTTAATTGTATTTGCTATAAGAAAGTTGTTTGGAGGATTAAATGAGCTAATTCTTGCTAAAAACAGTGCTAGGCAGACTGGAAAAATACTACTGTAATTATTATTATATAAATGTAGCCATTATTAAGTTGCAAAATAATAATTTCATGTTGTGTTCCATATTATTATTTTAGTGGACTCTTAGTAGCTACATGTAATTGTGGGGAAAATTTCTTTAAGTTTTTCTATTATATTGAAATGAATAGAGCACTTTGTGGAATGTTCATAAAGACTTGAAATTGCTCTTATTTTTCAATTACGTCCTTTCTTGCAAGATGATCCAGGACGGGGAGGACCTGGCCATGGAGATGTTACAGGGCTGCGGGAAACAGTTTCTCTCTTTCTGTCCTGAACGGAACCTGGGTCCATAGCTCGGAGTCAAAGATGGGAAGAGGAGAAACAGATCTGTAAGTCAAAGAATCCAGCCCCCAAGGAGGAAGTCCCAAAGCCACAGAAGAATCTGGAGAGCCAGAAGAAGGAAAGGCAACAAGTAAGCAGCCCAGGTTCTTACCGGGGCAGGTCCCGAGGGAGATTTCATCCTTGCGTGTGTGAAGGGCTGGGCCTGCCCTGGGCCTCAGTACCACCTCATTTTCTATTCTTACTGGCCCACTTAGATACACCCAAAACAGCCAGGATTGTATTCTAAGCTGAGACACATACTACAGATGAAACAGCCTCCTTTTAAAGAATCACAGCTTGCATTTACAAATTCGTGTAAACAAAACACAAAACAAAACCAAAAACCTCTCTCAGTAGCAAAAAGATAAAACGAACACAAATGCTGTCTGACAACAACAACATAGACATCAGAACACAACCCCGTTGTAAAATTATCAGCAGAAACAGACGTAGAGGCCACGGCAGATACTGCAACATCTACTGATCCCTAGACCTGGCAAAGATTACCTGGGGATGAGATAAAGAAACCAAAGTCATCGAATGAATGTGAAGTCCACCAGACTGCTTTATATCTGAGTGAGTCATCTCTAGAAGGCGATCTGTGTTTGACTGGCATCTTCCAAGCTGGGGCATAGGCTATTCTAGCTTGATGAGTGCAGAGTATGTCCTCCCAGAAGCAGCAGCCGGTTCGCTTAAAGCGAGGCCCGGTTCTGTGAGCAGGAGTGCTCCTCCGGGGCCTTAGAAAAGGGCTGCAGAACAAAGACCGCCTGTGCTTTTTCTAGGCACACACCACGAAGGGAGTCCGCAGTGGTGTCGCATCTCTCTTGGGCAGGGTTTCCCAGATTTACGAGGAAACAGACCACATTTCATGGAAGGCCTCCAGAGAAGGTTTCTGCTTAAGGTGTTAAGGTTTGGATATAGACTTTTGGTGTGATTTAATAAGAACTGACTTTTAAATACTTAATATAAAAATGATACGCATATTTAATAAAAGTATGTTCTAAAACATTCAAGACTTGAATCTGTTGACTTACGCTCAAAGAACAGTAGAAAGATACACCTTTATTTAAGTCTTTATTGCTTGGAGCTGCAGCAGAAATGAATTCTAACTATTATAATGTACAGATACAGCACATTGAGTGAACACTACTAGGAAATAGAAAATAGTCCAGTAGAGCCTATATGGATGCAGAGGTGCTTAACTTTTAAAAAATATTAACGCCAAAAAGACTTGCTTAGATTTGCACAAACACATTTCAAAAGTAGAAATAGTTATTTTTCTAGTATAATACTGTACTATTGGAGTGATCATTTTAAAAATAAATAAAGTCAGCTTTTCCTGTCCACAGGTTCAGAATCTGTACATACAAGCAATCAGATAAAAAGTATTTTAAAAATTGTTTCTATACAGGACATATATAGACTTTTCATTTTGTCATTATTTCCTAAGCAATATACTATAGCAACCACTTACATAGCATTCACATCATATTAAGTATTATAAGTAATCTAGAGGTGACTAAAATACACAAGAGGATTGTTGTAGGTTTATGGAAATACTATGCCATTTTGCATAAGGGACTTGGTATCCCTAGGGGATTCTGGAACCATATATTCCTGAAATATACTAAGAAACAAGTGTATTACCTTTTTTCTCGTTTTTAGAATCCATATAAATTGTCTCTCTCTCTCTTTTTTTTTTTTTTTTTTTTTTTTTT